CAAAATAAAAGAGAATCGGGAAGTTCCTGCTCTCTCAGAGGCTCGTAGGCAGATGTAGGGGTGCCAGGAGGCCTGTGGCTACGGTGGGGCGTCAAATGTGAGTCCTGCCCCACAACAGCTGCAGTTCCTCATGCCCCACCAACCCAAAATTTCTGGATGCCAGCCTCCAGATGGGGATCTCCTGGGATTACAGCTCCTCTCCAGACTACAGAGCATAAGAACATAAGAGAAGCCAATGTTGGATCAGGCCAAAGGCCCATCCGGTCCAACACTCTGTGTCACACAGTGGCCAGAAATACCAGGTGCCATCAGGAGGTCCACCAGTGGGGCCAGGACATTAGAAGCCCTCCCACTGTTGACCCCCCCAACACCAAGAGTACAGAGCATTACTTGCCCCAGACCGAGAGTTCCTATCTATAGTAAAGGTAAAGGTTCCCTCGCTCGAAAGCCAGTCAAATTCGACTCTAGGGTTGCGGTGCTCATCTCCGTTTCAAAGCTGAAGAGCCAGCGCTGTCTGAAGACGTTTCCGTGGTCATGTGGCCGGCATGACTAAACACCGAGGTGCACGGAACGCTGTTACCTTCCCACCGAAATGGTACCTATTGATCTACTTGCAATTTCTTGCTTTCGAACTGCTAGGTTGGCAGGAGCTGGAACTAGAGACGGGAGCTCACTCCGTCATGCGGCACACTCGAGTCTTGAACTGTTGAACTACCGACCTTCCACAGCCTGCAGTTCAGCATCTTAACCATTTGAGCCACTGCAGCTCCTTCTCCTATCTATACCTTGTGGCTAATAGCCACCGATGGACCTCTGCTCCATATGTTTATCTAATTCCCTTTTGAAGCCGTCCATGCTTGTACCCACCACCCCCTCCTGTGGCAGTGAACTCCATGTGTTAATCACTCTTTGGGTGAAGAAGGACTTCCTTTTATCCGTTCTAGCCCGTCTGCTCGGCAGTTTCATGGAGTGACCATGAGATCAGTTCCCCTGGAGGAAATGGCTGCTTTGGAGGGGGGACTCTATGGCTTTGGACCCCTGTCCTCACCAGGCTCCATCCCCAGATCTCCAGGAGGTTCCCAACCTGGATCTGGCAACACTAGACAGATGGGAGATCCCCCCCACCTGTGTCATGGAATAGGGTTGCCAACCTCCAGGTGGGGCCTGGAGATCTCCCAGAATTACAACTGCTCTCCAGATGATAGGATACTTGCTTTGGCTGGTTTGGAGGGTGGGCTCTATGGCATTATAACCCACTGAAGCCCCTCCCCTCCCCAGAACCCGTCCTTAAAATAGCCAGGAATTTCTCAGCCCAGAGCTGGTGGCAGCCCTAGTCACGGAACCCCCTTGATCAGAGATGGTTTCTCCCACGCATCACTGATGCAGCCATTTTTCTCAGTGACGTGTGCCTTCTTTTTGCAGAACAACTTGGCAGGCCTTTATCAATTCATTCGGATCAAGATTAACTAACCGGTACATGATTTTCTCACTAGCCAGCTCAAAAAGAGGAGGTAGCAATTAATCCCATTCCTAACGAATTATTAACAGAAAACGGAGTTCAGTGCACCAGAGAATCTTGCGAATACTTTTTGCACTGTCTCTTTCTCCACCACCCCCACTTCTGTGTCGTGCTTCAAATTCCGGTTCCTTATTGAAGATGTTCTCTTTGTGTGTGTATTATGTGCCGTCAAGCTGGTTCTGACTTATGGCGAACCTGTGAATTAATGTCCTTCAAAACATCCTATCCGTTCACACCCTTTGCTAGAGTTCTTGCCCTGGCTTCCTCGATAGACTCAATCCATCGCATGTTGGATCTTCCTCTTTTCCTGTTTCCTTCAACTTTTCCTAGCTTTCCTTATCCCCCCCCTAATTTTTTTGCTCTGAATTCCCTTCCCCCCTACCCAGAAAAGGGGTGGGCAGGCTGGAACTGGGGTGAATAATATTAGGAAAATCGCCATCTTGGATCATTTTACTTTGTACTGTAATTTTTTCTAAGTTATACACTGAATGTTAATGTGTTGTGTAGTTTAGAGAGCCAGTTTGGGGCAGTGGTTAGGAGCGCAGACTCTAATCTGGGAGAACCGGGTTTGATTCCCCACTCCTCCACTTGCACCTGCTGGATGACCTTGCGCAAGCCGTAGTTCTCTCCGAGCTGTTCTTGAAAAAGAGCAGTTTCTGTCAGAGCTCTTTCAGCCCCACCGACCTCACAGGCAATGTTCCCTCTAAGCTGTGGAGTCTTGTGAGCAAAAATTCTACTCTGTGAGCTGCTGGCATGAAATTTGTGAGCAAGCGATTTGGCTACTGCATAAATTAGTTGGCCCTGGAGTCATCCTTCCTGAGTGAAGACAAAAATCTGTGAGCTGGAGGCTGAAAAACTGCAAGCTAGCTCACACTAACTCAGCTTTGAGGGAACACTGCTCACAGGGTGTCTGTTGTGGGAAGGGGAAGGGGAAGGAGTTTGTAAGCCACTCTGAGACTCCTTTGGGTAGTGAAGGGCGGGGTATAAATCCAATCCAATCTCTTCTCTTCTTCTCTTCTTTATGGCATTATGCCTTGTACATTGCCCAGAGCCTGGAGTAAGCTGGATGGAGCGTAATAATAATAATAATAATAATAATAATAATAATAATAATAATAATAATATCATCTTTCCCAGGGTCTCTTGTCTTCTCATAATGTAACCAAAATACAATAGCCTTAGTTTAGTCATTTTAGTTTCTAGGGAGCCTTCAGACTCGATTTGATCTAGAACCCCCTTATTTGTTTTTTTTGGCGGTCCGCAGGATCCGTAAAACTCTCCTCCAGTGCCACATTTCAAATGAATTGACTTTCTTCCTGCCTGGTTTCTTCATTGTCCGACTTTCACACCCATACATAGTTATGGGGATTTGGGGGATATTATGGTATGAATTATTTTGATCTTGGTCGCCAGCAACACATCCTTACACTTAAGGGTCTCTTCTGGCTCCTAGATGGCTTCCCTCCCCAGTGTCGGTCTCCTTCCGACTTCTCGGTTGCAGTCTCCCTTTTGGTTGAGAGCCAGTTTGGCGTAGTGGTTAAGTGCGCAGACTCTAATCTGTGAGAACCGGGTTTGATTCCCCTCTCCTCCACATACAGCTGCTGGGTGACCTTGGGCAAGCCACAGTTCTGTCAAAGCTGTTCTCTCAAGGACAGTTCTCTCAGAGCTCTCTCAGCCCCACCTACCTCACAGGGTGTCTATTGTGGGGAGGGGAAGGGAAAGGAGATTATAAGCCGCTCTGAGACTCCAAGTGAAGGGCGTGGTATAGATCCAGTCACTTCTTCTCTTCTTCTTCTTGGTTGACGATGGAGCCAAGGAATAGCAAATCTTTAGCACAGCGAAAAAAGAGGAACTCTAGCATGCAGCTGCTGTTTGGGGCAAGATGTTAAGATCTCTGCTCGAGGGGAGCTGTTGACATCTTGAGGGGACGCGAACAATCCCGGAGAAACGGCCTTGTGTTTGCACCCAGAGTAATAGATCAGATTTACACAGCATAATAAACTAAGTCTACTCATAGACGGAAGGTTGCATAAGGAAGGGGTGCAGGTGCGCATACTAATATGTGCTTACGCAAGAGCCTTTTTGTGTGTTTGGAATTCAAAGTGTGCTGCACAGCTCCGGTTCCTGTGTCACAGGAACACACGAAGCGGCCTTTTACGGAGTCAGGCTCTTGGTCCATCGAGATCAGTACTGTGTACTCAGACGGGCAGCAGCTCATTTTGGGCGCTGATCCAGAGCTTTACATATGGCACTGCTTCAGACCCTCGGTCGTCCAAGGTCAGTCTTGTCTACTCGGACTGGCAGCAGCTCTCCAGGGTCCCAAGTTTAGGTCTTTCCGATTACCTTCTGCCTGGTCCTTTTATCTGGAGGTGCCGGAGTTTGAACCTAGGACCTTCTGCATGCCAAGCACACTGAGCCCGACAGCCCCTCTGCTACTGAGCCAAAAGCACTCTCCTACTTTGAGTGGGGAGCTGTGGTGGCTCAAGTGGTTAAGACGCTGAACTGCAGGCTGTGGAAGGTCAGTAGTTCAGCAGTTCGAGACCCGAGTGTGCCGCATGACGGAGTGAGCTCCCGTCTCTAGTTCCAGCTCCTGCCAACCTAGCAGTTCGGAAGTAAGACATTGCAAGTAGATAAATAGGGACCACTTTGGTGGGAAGGGGACAGCGTTCCGTGCACCTTGGTGTTTAGTCGTGTCGGCCACATGAACACGGAAACGTCTTCAGACAGCGCTGGCTCTTCGGCTTTGAAACGGAGATGAGCACTGCAACCCTAGAGTCGGATTCAACTGGCTTTCGAGCAAGGGAACCTTTACCTTTACCTTTTTACTTTGAGTGGACAAGAGTAGTCTTTAATGACTTCCTTAAAGGCACTGCCCCAGAGGAATTTCTCCTGTAAATGCTTTTATCGATCATTTAAAAATCATTTTTTTAAAGGCATGCTCTCCTTTAAGCAGAGCAGGGTGCCGTAGTTGACTAATTCCCACACTGACTGAGGGGGTTGGAGTAGGTGACCTCTAGGATCCCTTCTAACTCTGTGTCAAGAAACTTGTTGCCTTTAAGAGAGTTTTTCTGCCTGTTAGCTGTCTTGGCTATAGAAGTCATCACCCCCACCTGCCAGCTTGTTATTAGAATTGTTGCTTCTGCTGGCCGAAGTGATCAGCTTGTAGCAGCTGAGAACGGTCATCGAAAGTCGTTGACAGCCTGCAAGTTAGAGATCCATTCTGGTAACTGCTTTCTATTGGCTAAACAGCTTTTCTTTCTGCGCTGAGAACTGCAGCCCCACCAGGAAAAAAAATTGCCCCGCAAGCCAATCCAACTCTCTGATCCAATCCGTGGCACACAGTGGCACCCAGGTGCCTTCAGGAGGTCCACCAGAGGTCCGTTCAGTCTGAATTGTTTCTAATGCAACTCCCAAACCACGCATGCACATATTTGTACGTCCCTGATGTCTGTTCCCTAATGCGTACCCCTTCTCCCCGCAGTCTGTACGGTGCGTTGCCAGAAGTTCCTCATCTCCAAGGTGGGCGAAGACTGGATCTTCCTCATTCTCTTGGGCTTGGTGATGGCCTTGGTGAGTTGGGTCATGGACTTCACCATCGCAACCTGCCTGCAAGGTAAGGAGGGGAGAAGGCTAACAGTCAGGGACTGTCGAACATAAGAAAACAAGAAAAGCCGATGTTGGATCAGGCCTATGTCCCTTCCAGTCCAGCACTCTGTGTCACACAGTGGCCAAAAATACCAGGTGCCATCAGGAGGTCCACCAGTGGGGCCAGGACACTAGAAGCCCTCCCAGTCTTGCCCACCCACAAGCACCAAGAATACAGAGCATCACTTGCCCCAGACTAAGAGTTCCTACCTATACCTTGTAGCTAATAGCCACTGATGGACCTCTGCTCCATATGTTTATCCAATTCCTTCTTGAACCCGTCCATGCTTGTAGCCGCCACCACTTCCTGTGGCAGTGAATTCCATGTGTTAATCACTCTTTGGGTGAAGAAGGACTTCCTTTTATCCGTTCTGACCCGACTGCTCAGCAATTTCATGGAGTGCCCACGAGTCCTTGTATTGTGAGAAAGGGAGAAAAGGACCTCTTTTTCTACCTGCTCTATCCCATGCATAATCTTATAAACCTCGATCATGTCACCCCTCAGCCGTTGTTTCTCCAAGCTAAAGAGCCCCAAGCATTTTAACCTTTCGTCTTAGGGAAAGTGTCCCAACCCTTTTATCATCCTAGTTGCCCTTTTCTGCGCTTCATGGGTGGAAAGTGCCATCAGGTTACAGCTGATTCAGGGCAAATAATAATAATAATAATAATAATAATAATAACAACAACAACAACAACAACAACAATAATAACAATAACAATAATAATACTTTTGATTTATTGATCGCTTTTCCCACACACCTGTGGGCTCAGAGCGATTTACAGTTACTCATGACAGTTGGACTAACAATACTCATGGGGGATAGGGAAGACAACATACTGTATATTTTTATATACACACATTGTAGCTGGCCGGAGGATTCAACTGCGGGCTGGATCAGTCGTGTTCTGACGGCATGAAGGATATAACTCTTCTTTAGAATTCCACTGTTTTAAACTACTAACTGTAGATACATGGAGATGTGTGATCTCCAGCCAAACTGGCCTGGGAAAAATTGCTTCCTGACCCCAAAGTGGCAATCAGCATTTTCCTGGGCATGTAAGAAAGGGCCACAAATACTAAGCACTGAGGCAACCCTTCCTCCCCTCCCTTCTTATGATCTGCCTAAGTTCATAGAATCTGCATTTCTGTCATATACCAGCATGGGGCTAGAACTGACAAAGCTTGGCAGTTCAGATGTTATAGTTAAGCAGGGGAGTTATCCCCTGCGCCACCGCTCCCTAGTCATGAGGTCTTCAAGCAAGAGAGGAACAGAGGTGGCTGGCCATGGCCTGCCTCTGCAGAGCAATCCTGGTGTTCCTTGACGGTCTCCCATCCAAGTACTAACCAGAGCCGACCCTGCTTAGCTTTCAAGATCTGACCAGATCAGGCTAGCCTGGGCTGGGATGTTGACTCATTGAAGATGTCAACTCAGTGCGCGACGGCCATAAAAAAAGGCAAATGCTATGCTGGGGATTATTAGGAAGGGGTTTGAAAACGAATCAGCCAGGATTATTATACCCCCGTATAAATCTATGGGGGAGCCTCATTTGCAGTGCTGTGTACAGTTCTGGTCACCACACCTCAAAAAGGATATTATGGCATTAGGAAAAGTGCAGAAGAGGGCAAGTAGGATGATAAAAGGGTTGGAACACTTTCCCTAAAAGAAAGGTTAAAGTGCTTGGGGCTCTTTAGCTCGGAGAAACGACGGCTGAGGGGTGACATGATTGAGGTTTACAAGGTTATGCATGGGATAGAGCAGGTTGAGAAAGAAGTCCTTTTCTCCCTTTCCCACCATACAAGAACTCGTGGGCACTCAATGAAATTGCTGAGCAGTCGGGTTGGAACAGATAAAAGGGAGTACCTCTTCACCCAGAGAGTAATTAACACATGGAATTCACTGCTGTAGGAAGTGGTGGCAGCTGCAAGAAGCATAGACAGTTTCAGGAGGGGACTGGATAAACATATGGAGCAGAGATCCACCAGTGGCTATTACCCACAAAGTATAGATGGAACATTCTGTCTGGGGCAGGGATGCTCTGTATTCTTGGTGCTTGACGGGGAACAGTCGGTGGGCTTCTGGAGTTCTGGCACTGCTGATGGCACCTGGGCTTTGCCCACTGTGTGACACAGTGTGTTGATGGGCCATTGGCCTGATCCAGCATGGCTTCTCTTATGCTCTTAATGGCTATTAGCCACCAGGTATAGATGGAACACTCAGTCTGGGGCAGGGATGCTCTGTATTCTTGGTGCATGGGGGGCAACAGTGGGAGGGCTTCTGGAGTTCTGGCCCTGCTGGTGGACCTCCTGAGGGCCCCTGGGTTCTGACCACTGCCAAACAAATGAGTACACGCTTGTCATAAGGTTATACTTTATTTGCTAGAGCTATAGATGCAGTGGCTCAGGTGGTTAAGACGCTGAACTGCAGGCTGTGGAAGGTCAGTAGTTCAGCAGTTCGAGACCCAAGTTGCCGCATGACAGAGTGAGCTCCCGTCTCTAGTTCCAGCTCCTGCCAACCTAGCAGTTCGAAAGCAAGAAACTGCAAGTAGATAAATAGGTACCACTTCAGTGGGAATAACAGCGTTCCGTGCACCTTGGTGTTTAGTCATGCCAGCCACATGACCACGGAAACGTCTTCGGACAGCACTGGCTCTTTGGCTTTGAAACGGAGATGAGCACCGCAACCCTAGAGTCGGACTCGACTGGCTTTCGAGCAAGGGAACCTTTACCTTTTTATAGATGCAGTAACATGGTCACTGTTAGGGATGGCTATGTTCCTACAAGCATAATGGGATTTAGGGTATTCGTATGCACACACCTCCCACTCCTAGGCCAATCGGCCTGACTCCCGCGTGCTGGAGAATGGGGCCCCAGGCCGTTACTGCCATAGCTGGGAATCGAAAGTAATCCCATGGGTAAATGATGGCAAGACACTACACAGGCAGCCTACAAGGTCAGAGATAAAAAGAAGGAAAAAAGGCAGAAGCAGTTGGTACACAGGTCAAGCAGCCGCACTCTAGCCCATAAACATCATGGCAGCATAGCTGACAACTGTGGGACACAGAGTGTTGGACTGGATGGGCAGTTGCACCTGATCCAGCATGGCTTCTCTTGTGTTCTTACGTAGTTAGGGACTGTAGACGACGTGTGTAAAGCGTCATCCAGTTGCAGCCGACCCATGGCAACCCCATAGAGTTTTCAAGGCAATAGACGAACAGAGGTGGTTGTCCATTGCCTTCCTCTGCATAGCAACTCTGGAGTTCCTGGACGGTCTCCCATCGAAGCACTAACCAGGGCCGGCCATGCTTAGCTTCCAAGGTCCGACGGGATTGGGCTCCGCCGGGCCATCTAGATCAGGGGGCGTAGACCGTTCCACTGTGTATATTTCATATTATCTGTCGCTGCAAGTAGCTTCTTGTTATGTCATATTTGCATTCATTTAATGTTTCTTGTTAGATACTTCTGCTTTCCTTCTCCTCTGGCTGTTTGAGAGATTTCTATAAGCCAAATCCTGTCGCACTATTGGATGTCCCACCCTGCTGATTGTGTTGCCTGATTCCCTGCAATCGGCCTTAAGTCCTGGAGAGAAAGGCAGAGGATAATGTCAATAAAATGCAGATATTGAGCCGAGCTGGTTGGCTGGCTTCCTGATCCCGCAGGACTGTGAATTTGGTTTTATCCGTGGCGCCCTGGCACCCAGAAGGCGCCTGACAAAGAAAACGGGTGTCTTTGTTGGAACGGCAAAATTCTAATCTGGTAGCACCTTAAGGACCGAAATGATTTCCAGGGTATAAGCCCTTGAGAGTCACAGCTTGGCGACTGTAAGCTTCTCTGAGACTCTGGGTGATTTCCCACAAGCGCTGCTCCGCGCTCACTCCTCCCTTTTGCCCCATGGTACGTGTCAATTTCACACAAGCTGCTGCGCGGCCGCATTTTGCCCCGCAGCTTCGTGCGATTTTGGTGTAGTGGTTAAGTGTGCGGACTCTAATCTGGGAGAACCGGGTTTGATTCCCCACTCCTCCACTTGCACCTGCTGATGTGACCTTGGGTCAGTCACAAGCTCTGGCACAGCTGTCCTTGAAAAAGAGCAGTTTGTGTCAGAGTTCTCTCAGCCCCACCCACCTCACAGGGTGTCTGTTGTGGGGAGGGGAAGGGAAAGGAGTTTGTAAGCCGCTCTGAGACACCTTCGGGTAGTGAAGGGCGGGGTATAAATCCAATCTCTTCTTCTTCTTCTTCTTCTTCTTCTTCTTCTTTGTGTTCCTCAAAAAACAGGATTGAGTAGACGCGGGGAAAATCGCACGAAGCTGGGGCAAAATGCGGTCGCGCAGCAGCTTGTGTGAAATTGACACGTACCATCGGGCCAAAGAGAAGAGTGAGCACTGAGCAGCGCTTGTGGGAAATCCCCCTCTAAGTGAAGGGCGGGGTATAGGTCCAGTCTCTTCGTCTTCCGTTTGGTGTAGTGGTTAGGAGCGCAGGCTCTGATCTGGGAGAACCGGGTTGGATTCCCCACTCCTCCACACGCAGCTGCTGGGTGACCTTGAGTCAGTCACAAGTTCTCTCAGAGCTGTTCTGGAAGGAGCCGTTCTCAAGAGAGCTCTCTCAGCCCCGCCTATCTCGCAGGGTGTCTGTTGTGGGGAGGGGAAGGGAAAGGAGTTTGTGAGCCGCTCTGAGACTCCTTTGGGTAGTGAAGGGCAGGATACAAATCCAATCTCCTCTTCCTCCTCTTCCTCTTCTTCCTCCTCCTCTTCTTCCTCTTCCTCTAACAGATGAAGGGAGTTTTTACTCTCAAAAGCTTATGCCAGGGGTCCTCAGCGTGGTGCCTGTGAGCTCCGTTGCACCCACCGGCACCTTACCTGGTACCCGCCAAGTGTTTTCAGAACCTAGATGGAGTCAGGAATCAGCTGCCTGGGGAGGTGGTGAGCTCCCCCGCCCTGGTAGTCTTTCAGCAGTGGCTGGACGGACATTTGTCAGGGATGCTCTAGGCCAGTGGTGGCGAACCTATGGCACAGGTGCCAGAGGTGGCACTCAGAGCCCTCTCTGTGGGCACACATGCCATCGCCCCAGCCAGGCCCAGACCATCATTAAAGTGTCGAATTCTCTGCCAAATAATTTTAAGTAAATGAAAGCATTTGGGATTGCTTCCCTATCTTTGTTTGGATCATCTGAAGTTGATGTATGAGTTGTTTTTTCTAAAGTAAAACCTCAGTATTGAGGTTAAATTGCCGTGTTGGCACTTTGCAATAAATAAGTGGGCTTTGGGTCGCAGTTTGGGCACTCGGTCTCTAAAAGGTTTGCCATCACTGCTCTAGGCTGATCTTGCATTGGGCAGGGGGCTGGACTAGATGGCCTCTAGGGCCCCTTCCAACTCTGTGGTTCTTGGATTCTTGCCCCAGAGTGGCAGCAGGGTGTAGCAGTTAGCGTTCGACTCCCCCTGCTGCCCAGAAGCTCACCTCGGGCCAGTCTCTGCCAGCCTGACCTACCTCGCAGGGTTGTTGTGAGAACCAAATGGGGGAGGGGGGAGGAGAAGCCCTTGTGTTGCCGTGAGCTCCTGGGTGGAAGGTCGAGATGAAGACCCGGTTGGTTGTCCATGTCCGCTTGTGTGTTTTTTGTCTCTTGCACAGCCCAGAAGTGGATGTACGGGGGGCTGGACACCAACATCTTCTTGCAGTACTTGGCCTGGGTCACCTACCCCGTGGTGCTGATCACGTTCTCTGCGGGCTTCACGCAGATCTTGGCTCCACAGGCGGTTGGTGAGTCCTGGGAAAGGGGGTGCCCATGGTGGGTGGAATTCATGTCCTTTCTCTTTCAGCCGTCCTGGGGAGAACCCTGGAGGAGTTTGTGTATTGGAAGCCCCTCGGGTAGGGGCTGTGGCTCAGCGGTATAGAGCCTCTGCTTTGCACACAGAAGGTCCCCGGTTCAATCCCCGGCATTTCCAGTTCAAAGGACCAGGCAGTAAATTTGTACACCAGTTTTGGGATGATATTGTCCACCAAATTAGATTTATTACTGGATACCTGTATCCTAGGAGCTGTGGTGGCTCAAGTGGTTAAGACGCTGAACTGCAGGCTGTGGAAGGCCGGTAGTTCAGCAGTTCGAGACCCGAGTGTGCCGCATGACGGAGTGAGCTCCCGTCTCTCGTTCCAGCTCCTGCCAACCAAGCAGTTCAAAAGCAAGAAATTACAAGTAGATAAATAGGTACCACTTTGGTGGGAAGGTAACAGCGTTCCGTGCGCCTTGGTGTTTAGTCATGCCAGCCACATGACCACGGAAACGTCTTCGGACAGTGCTGGCTCGTCGGCTTGGGAACGGAGATGAGCACCACAACCCTAGAGTCAGATTCGACTGGCTTTCGAGCAAGGGAACCTTTACCTTTACCTTTTACCTGTATCCTAAAGATCCTGAGCTTATTTTGATTGATTTATGGCACAACTCTGAGATCCCTAGAATTAGACGGGAGTTAGTTATGATTCTGATTATAGCTGCTAAATGGCTAATTGCAACAAATTGGAAAAAAATAATCTTTACCCTCCACTGATGAAATAGTATGCTAAGGTTTGGGATATATTCTTGATGGACAAATTTAGCTGACTTCATATCACATTCAGAGACACATTTTCAGGCTTCTCTGATTTATTGGACAAACGGTCCCCGTTTTTAAAACATACAGCTGATTCTGTTTTTTCTAAAAGAAGATCTAAATATCTTAACTCAAGATATTATTCTCCGTGTGGCCGGGGCCATGCTAAGGTTACTAACCAATATATACGCTGTTGACTTGCATGTGATTTTATTTAAGGCTAGCAGATTGTATTAACAAAGCAATTCCAATTTTATTTTGTGCGATATAATGCTGTTACGCTTTCTCACTGTTGCATGTTACATTTGGAAAATAAAATAAAATTTGTTTTTTGGGAGGGGGGGGAAGAATTTTATGTCAGCTGCCTTGAGCCTGCCCTGGCGGGGAGGGTGGGGGAATAAACCAAACCAATCAATAAACACCTTTTCCTCCCTCCCTCCCCAGGTTCGGGCATCCCCGAAATGAAGACCATCCTGCGGGGCGTCGTGCTGAAGGAATACCTGACCCTCAAGACCTTTGTGGCGAAAGTGCTTGGCCTGACGTGCGCCCTGGGCAGCGGCATGCCTTTGGGCAAAGAGGTGTGGGGGTGCTGATCTGCAGACGGCTTGGGCTGTGCCAGCCTCAGAGGGCAGGGCGAGTCTTCTGGGCTGGGGAGCTTCTGGGAGGAATAGCCAGGGCTGGCATCGGCATACCCTGAGGGGGGCGGCAGCTTCTAGGCCCTGTGGATTCTGGTGGGGCCCCCACTGTCGCAGGTTTCTAGCCACACACTTCCCCTGCCCCCTCTCTCCACCCACGCTCCCACCTGCCCAGGGTCATTGAGGAAGGGTACGTGGATGGTGCGCAGGGGTGGCAGCGACCCACACAGTCGTATGCACTGACCAGTGCTGTCGGGGAGGTGGCGCAGGCAAGTGAACTTGGGCGGCGGAAGGGCTTGCAGGTGGGAGAAGGATGCCGGGCAGGTGGACAGCATGCTGGTGTGGGGATATAACGGCGGGGGAGAGGAGGGGGGGGAATGGGGGCCGTGGGCACTGTCTGCCCGGGGCTCCCTGGGACCAGCCTGGAAAAACCTGTACAGAGGAGGGCAACCAAGACGATGAGGGGGCTGGAGCACCTTTCCTATGAGGAAGGGCTGGAGAGTCCGGGACTTCTCAGTTTAGAGAAGAGACGACTGAGGGGGATGAGAGATGGGTCATTTCCTGCAGGAGCGCACAGGAGCGGAGCTCCGGCAGTAAAGAGCCCAGGGGGTGGGCACATGCAACAAGCCCCGCCCCCTGCTCCCAGCAGCCCTCAGTCAGAGCAAGAAGCAGCCAGGTAAGTTGCAGAGCTCCCCCTGGATCCAAAACAGTCCAGTGGCACATTTAAGACCAAGTTTTATTCAGGTACAAGCTCTCCCTCCTCTGTGACGACAGATCTGCACGTTCCCCCCACCCTCCAATAGCTAGCAATCCAAAACAGTCCAGTGGAGCCTGAGCGGTGGGTGTTGCCTTCTGACACACTTCCGGTGATGTCAGGGTGTGTGTGGCCTATGCAAATAAGTTATGTTTCTATGAAATGACCCCTGATGAGAGAGGTTTATAAAATTATGCGTCCCTAAATAAAATTATGTATCCCTAAATACTAGAACTCAAGGGCATCCAATGAAGCTGACGGGCTGTAGGTCCAGAACGGACAAAAGGAAATTCTACTTTACACAGAGAATGATTCAAAGGTGGAATGCACTGCCAGTGGATGTCGTGAGGGCCACAGGAATAAACAGCTTGAAAAAGGGGATCAGAGAGATTCATGGAGGATAAGTCTATCCATGGCTGCTAGCCGTGGTGACCGAGGGGAACTAAGCCTCTGAATCCCGCAGCCAGGAGGGCAACCTTAGGGGAAGGTCCCGGCCTCCATGCCCTGCTGCTGGGCGTCCAGAGGAACTTGTTGGCCACCATGCGAATGAGACAGGATGCTGGACTAGACGGATCCAGCGGGGTTCTTCTTCTGTTCTGTGGTGGGAGATGGGATGTCTGTTCCCTCTGTCTCCATGGCTGTTTGCTCTGGGTTCCTGGAACCGGGGGGGGGTCTCCTTTCCCACCCCACTAACTCTCTCCCCCTTTCCTCTGCAGGGACCGTTTGTCCACATAGCCAGCATGTGCGCGGCCATCCTCAGCAAGTTCCTCTCACTCTTTGGCGGCATCTATGAGGTGAGCAGCTGGTACAGATTATGTATGCCCAGTGGATGGCAGAGTTGGATGGTGGGGGCACTTCGAGGTGGCAGGCCATGAGTTCAGATCTCACTCACCACTGTGGCCCCAGGCAAGACTGTCTTTCCCGGCTTCAGTCTGCAGTGTGGAGGAAATCATGCAGGTCTGTTGCTGTACAGCTTGCAGCAGTCATACATGTGATACCCTCTAGTGCTTCAGGAAAACCCCGCAGTGTTTATTATTACACTGACGATGATGATTTACTACTATTTGCCTCGGCCTGGAATGTGAGAACTTCACAAGAGCCCTCCTGGATCAGACCAGTGGTCCGCCTAGTCCAGCCTCCTGTCTCACACAGTGGCCAGCCAGTTCCTCTGGAGGGCCGACAACAGGGCAGAGAGGCCGAGGCCTTCATAAGAACACAAGAAGAGCCCTGCTGAATCAGACCAGTGAGGGTCCACCTAGTCCAGCATCCTGTCTCACACAGTGGCCAACCAGTTCCTCTGGAGGGCCCACAACAGGGCACAGAGGCAGAGGCCTCTAGGCCCTGTTGACGGCTGCGCAGAGGAACTGGTTGGCCAGTGTGTGAGACAGGAGGCTGGACTAGAGGGACCACTGGTCTGATCCAGCAGGGCTCTTCTGTTGTCCTTATGAAGGCCTCAGCCTCCATGCCCTGTTTATTTGGGCCTCCAGAGGAACCGATCGGCCACTCTGTGTGACAGGATGCCGGACTAGATGGCCTATTTGGTCTGATCTGGCAGGGCTCTTCTGATGTTCTTACCAGGGGAAGGCCTCGGCCTCTCTGCCCTGTTGTTGGCCGTCCAGGGGAACTGGTTGGCCAGTGTGTGAGACAGGAGGCTGGACTAGAGGGACCACTGGTCTGATCCAGCAGGGCTCTTCTGTTGTCCTTATGAAGGCCTCAGCCTCCATGCCCTGTTTATTTGGGCCTCCAGAGGAACCGATCGGCCACTCTGTGTGACAGGATGCCGGACTAGATGGCCTATTTGGTCTGATCTGGCAGGGCTCTTCTGATGTTCTTACCAGGGGAAGGCCTCGGCCTCTCTGCCCTGTTGTTGGCCGTCCAGGGGAACTGGTTGGCCAGTGTGTGAGACAGGAGGCTGGACTAGAGGGACCACTGGTCTGATCCAGCAGGGCTCTTCTGTTGTCCTTATGAAGGCCTCAGCCTCCATGCCCTGTTTATTTGGGCCTCCAGAGGAACCGATCGGCCACTCTGTGTGACAGGATGCCGGACTAGATGGCCTATTTGGTCTGATCTGGCAGGGCTCTTCTGATGTTCTTACCAGGGGAAGGCCTCGGCCTCTCTGCCCTGTTGTTGGCCGTCCAGGGGAACTGGTTGGCCAGTGTGTGAGACAGGAGGCTGGACTAGAGGGACCACTGGTCTGATCCAGCAGGGCTCTTCTGTTGTCCTTATGAAGGCCTCAGCCTCCATGCCCTGTTTATTTGGGCCTCCAGAGGAACCGATCGGCCACTCTGTGTGACAGGATGCCGGACTAGATGGCCTATTTGGTCTGATCTGGCAGGGCTCTTCTGATGTTCTTACCAGGGGAAGGCCTCGGCCTCTCTGCCCTGTTGTTGGCCGTCCAGGGGAACTGGTTGGCCAGTGTGTGAGACAGGAGGCTGGACTAGAGGGACCACTGGTCTGATCCAGCAGGGCTCTTCTGTTGTCCTTATGAAGGCCTCAGCCTCCATGCCCTGTTTATTTGGGCCTCCAGAGGAACCGATCGGCCACTCTGTGTGACAGGATGCCGGACTAGATGGCCTATTTGGTCTGATCTGGCAGGGCTCTTCTGATGTTCTTATGATAGCCTCGGCCTCTCTGCCCTGTTGTCGGCCCTCTGGAGGAACTGATTGGCCACTGTGTGAGTGAGGCAGGATCTTGGACTAGATGGGCTATTGGTCTGACCCAGCAGGGCTCTTCTTATGTTCACCGTGCCTCTCATTCTTCCTTATTTCCCCCACAGAATGAATCTCGCAATACCGAGATGCTGGCGGCTGCGTGTGCGGTGGGGGTTGGATGTTGCTTCGCTGCTCCCATTGGAGGTAAGGCCTCCCCTGGAGCCTGATTGTACTGATCCATCACCGCTGACCACCCCCTCCCAGCAGCAGAGAGAATCCTCACTGCCAGTTTGGTGTAGTGGTGAAGTGTGCGGACTCTAATCTGGGAGAGCCGGGTTTGATTCCCCACTCCTCCACTTGCACCTGCTGATGTGACCTTGGGTCAGTCACAAGCTCTGGCAAGCTCTTGGGTCAGTCACAAGCTCCTTGAAAAAGAGCAGTTTCTGTCAGA